TAAGATATTTCTGTATACTTTTTTTTTTGCTTTCATCAGTGATCAACTCAACATATCAATCAACGATAATATTACTTTATTCATATCAGAAGTCTCATCAACTAACTATTGTGCTAACTTTCTGAAAAACCTTATCTATTCGTATGTTGATCATGATTATATAACAAATGGATTACAGGATTTACTTTCCGCGGATTTACTTTCCATCGATTATTTTTGACTTTAATTGACTTTTTTTCAGAAAAAAAATGTCTTTTTTGCTGTCGAGGATTTACTTTCCATTGATTAAAAAAAAAATTTTATTCTAATTAGTCGTTTTCTTAATTATGGATTTACTTTCCGTTGATTGTTTCGTAGATGAGTGATGAGCGAACAAGTTATCATTCTGATAATCAATGTATTGTCAGAGAAAAATTACAATAAATATATAGACAACAAGAAAAAAGTTTCAACAAATATTGAATAAATAAGGAAATAAGGAAAAGAGATAACTATTTATTTTTTTGGTGCACGTTGAAAGTATCTCAACCCAGCTGCTTTTAAGAATGCTGGAATATCAATACGACCTTCATCATAACGTTGCCATAATTTCATCAAACATTCATCTGAAATAACATTGTTCTTGCGACGTTTTGGAGTTGAAGCCCCCAGGTCGTCTTGTAATCTCACAATAGAGGCTAAAGCTTGTTCTTTTTGTAGTAAATCAATTGCGACATATATATTTGGATGTGGAGAATTAACGTGTTTTTTCATAGGATTATGTCGACCTTCTAAATAGTTAATTGTTCGAGGTGTAATATTACGATAATGATTGTACAAATGTGGTGGAAATCGACTGAACGGCCCAAATGTATTATGATGATAATCAAGAAATGCTTGAATACCTGGATAATTAGTTCTAATACCCACTAAATATTGTAAACCCCATAACATATGATGCAATGGTAATAATGATATTGCTGCGAGAGATCGAAACCAATCTCGAAGATTTTCGTCGTTTTTATATGGTGTTTTTAAACCAATATCAACAAATTTACGGAATAAAGCTCGGCCGTAATGGAATAAACAACCGCGAACAGTAACAGTTGGATAATGTTTGGCAAATACATTAGCAACACCTAATTCAAAATCAATGGTAATGGTGCGTCATTTTATGAATAATTGAAATTCCATCATTTTTCTGAATATTATTGCAAATAAATCAAAATAAATTTCTTCAGATTTACCTCCAAGTAATGCAAAGACACATGGAGTAGAAATTCCATCATAATATGCATGAATAGAGTAAATCTGATAAAAGATAGATGGACATGTATAAAATGTGCCATCACTATACCAATGTTGTTGTTGTGATAAATAAACAATATCATTGTAAGTGGAAAAAATAAGTGAACGAGTACCGCCAAGTAGTCCATCATATAATAAAAACCAATCACCTTGTGTTGTTTTGCAATAAACATCAGGTAATGGTAATGGAAGTTGTTCAACTGATCAAGGAACTGGTGAACGAGTTTTACAACGATGCTTTTGTAAATTATTTTTTAGTGTGTTAATAGACGGTAAATTAACAATCAAATCATTGGATTTAATATTAATTTTATGATAAGCTTCTTCGACTATACGATCTATTGGACCAGAATCTTCTATAGCTTTTCGTTTTAAATTTTTTCGCATTTCTAAGACAATTTTGTCAGTTTCATCAGGTAAATGTGTATGTTCATCACATACTACAACGGATAAATCTGAATAACTTGTCGCTGTTGCCGTGCATTTTACACAAACCCAATATTCAGATCCATTTTGATTTTTACTTTTGAAACAATATCGATAACCGAGGTAACATAGTTGCTTTTTATCATGTGTTGATTCAATAAATTCAGCAGACATTTTGTAGATACCAAGAAAAAAATTCTGTATCCTTAGCTTTATATTCATTTTTACGAAATTCTCCCAGTTAACTAATATAGCTTCGAAATTAATGAGCATTGCTCATTTGAAACTAAAAATTCAGTTAATCATTGTTTTATTGAATTGATTATCAGAATGACAACTCGTTCGCTCATTATTCATCTACGAAACAATCAACGGAAAGTAAATCCACAATTAAGAAAACGACTAATTGGAATAAAATGTTTTTTTAATCAATGGAAAGTAAATCTTCGACAGCAAAAAAGACATTTTTCTGTGAAAAATAATCAATTAAAGTCAAAAATAATCAATGGAAAGTAAATCCTGTATACGGTATTAATTGTGTCCAATAGAATATAGAATCGAAAAAAAGAAAACAGCAAATATGTTTGATGTCTTTTAAAATTTATGATGAAGAGTGAGAATGTGTAACAAAGAGAGAAAAGAAAACTTTCATTGTTACATATTTTGAAAAAAATCTATAGACGATGAAGAAGTGCTCAAACAAATACTTTTACGTCTCTTTCATCGTTGACAAGTAAAAAAGAAATGAGAAAGAAAAAAAAACAGGTATGTGTTAGTGAATGAAATATATCAAGTGATTAATTCAATTGAATGTATGAAAAAAAAATTTCATTATAACATAATCAAAAAGATTTCTAATTATATCCTTATATTTTTCCATTACTGATCAATGAATTCTGTTTTTTTTTATTAAAAAAAAAGAAAAGATAAGTGATTGTTGTCGTCAAAATTTCTTTCGTTGATACTTCAAGAAGAAAAATATATGAGATTCTATTTTAATGTAAATTATAATACGAACTGAAGTCCAATAAATTCAAACAAATTATTTATTCAGCACCACGTATACTTTATTTGTTTATTAACAAAGAAGTAGGTTAGTATGTACTTAACTGAAATTCAGTAATCTGAATTGCGACGATATTTATTTTGATGACTAAAACTACTGTTGATATTCTGAGATGATGTCTACACAATTAGAAACATTCTAATATTGTGCGTGTATCGATATTAGTTGTAATTAGTAATTATAATGATGTGTCAAGTTACCCGAGCAGACAAAACTTTCCGAAAACGCGTGTACACACCATAAAACTGACTTTTTCAAGCGTTTACACACGTTAAAAAAAAAGATGGCCGTGTAAACACTTAGAATTCTAAAATTCCACCAGTGAAAACGTACAGTTTTTTTCTATTGAATATTTGTAGATGTTTAAACACCTCGAAAGCTTGCTTTGTAATCGTGTAAACGGTCATTGGCTCCAAAAACTCATTTCACGCATCAAAAAGTTGAGATTTTTACGCGTTTTCTCCAGCACTTTTATCATTCGGGTTTCCGCGATAATTACTGACCACATTCATCCTTCAAAATTGAGGGTTCTGGACGTTATTTTCTCCATATATTTTTTAGATTAACTATTCCGAAAGTTCAAGCGTTTAAACGATGGGTGCTTTCAGTTTTTCAACATAGTGCAGCATCAAATATTTCGGACACGTTTCTTATAGTAAATAGTAACCGTTTAGACGGCTAGTTTCATTGACATCCAGGTGTTTCAAGATGTAAACATTTTTGTATCTACATAACTCTAAATTTTAAGCGTTTAAACGGCTGATATAATGCATTTCTAGGAGTTTCCATAAATGAATTTTTTTCATATCTGCATGCTTCGAAATTCTAAACATTTAAACGAATGACATCGTCGACTTTTAGCAATATTCATGCATGAATTTTTTCGTATCTGCATAGTTCAAAATTCTAAACGTTTAAACGGCTGTACAATGAATTTTCAAGTGTTTTCATACATGAATTTTCTCACATTTTTATATTCAAAATTCTTAACGTTTAAGTGCCTGACGTCGATAAGTTTTAGAAGTTTCAATATACAAATTTTTTCATATTTACATAGTTCAAAATTGTAAACGTTTAAACGGTTCATATAAAGGATTTCTAGGAATGTTGATATATGAATACTTTCATAACTGCATGCTTCAAAATTTCAGACGTTTAAACGCCTGATGTCAATAATTTTTAGATGTGTCGATATCGAAATTTTTTTATATTTATATAGTTCAAAGTTCTAAACGTTTAAACGGCTGACATAAAGAATTCCGAGGAGTTTTCATACATGAATTTTTTCATATCTGTATGCTTCAAAAATCTAAACGTTTAAATGGCTGATGTCAATAATTTTTAGAAGTTTTGATATAGAAATTTCCTTATATCTACATAGTTTAAAATTCTACACGTTTAAACGGCTGACATTAAGAATTTCTAGGAGTTTTCACATGTGAATTTTTTCATACCTGCATGCTTCAAAATTCTAAGCGTTTAAACGTCTGATGTCAACAATTTTTAGGAGTTTCGATATAGAAATTTTTGTATATCTATATAGTTCAAGATTCTACATGTTTAAACGTTTGATATTAAGAATTTTTAGGAGTTTTCACATATGAATTTTTTCATATCTGCATGCTTCAAAATTCTAAGCATTTAAACATCTGATGTCAACAAATTTTAGGGGTTTCGGTATAAAAATTTCTTTATATCTACATAGTTCAAAATTCTTAACGTTTAAACGGCTGATATTAAGAATTTCTAGGAGTTTTCACATATGAATTTTTCTTGTCCCCATCGTTGAAAATTCTAAACGTTTAAACGGCTGAGATAATGAATTTTTAGAATTTTTCATACATAAATTTCTTCCAATCTGCATGCTTCAAAGTTCTAAACGTTTAAACGGCTGATATTATCAAGTTTTAGGGGTTTCGATATAGAAGTTTTTTTATATCTACATAATTCAAAATTCTAAGCGTTTAAACGCATGATATTATCAATTTCTAGGAGTTTCTATTTAAAAATTTTATCAGCTGCACATAGTTCAGAATTCTAAACATTTAAAAGAGTGCCACCATCAAGTTTTAGGAGTTTCAATATAGAATTTTTTTACATCTGCATAGTTCAAAATTTTAAACGTTGAAACGGCTGATATCATGAAATTCTAGGAGTTTCTATACATGAAGTTTTTCATACCTACATGCTTGAAAATTCTAGTTTTTAAATGATTGATTTCATCAGTTTCTAAGCATATTGGCATAGATGGCATTTTATTTGTAATTTTATGAAACTTTTGACTCTTCTAACCCCACGTTACAGCGAATGGTAGCTGTTTCTTTAAATGAAGTTCTTTGAATTTTTTTTATTTGTCTTGTTGTAAGGGGGACATTCGTCCGTGTTGCAGACTTTGTAATCGGTATTCTATATCGTATTGAGCGTTTGCAGTATGTTGTAAGGTTTTTAGATTAAACAGTGTCTGGCTAACTATCAGAGTCTTTCATAGGGTTACACATTAGTTGTGCGTTTGAGCTAAGGATTGTGCCAGAGAAAGTTCGTAAGGAGTGACTTACAGAAAAATTTCCTTTTGCGCACTTGAAAATCTTTGTCTGTGGTCTATCACTGTATTGCAGTTAAAATTTGGTTTTGCATTTTTTAATAACAGTTGAAAGCGTTGCGTTTGTAACACAAAATGTTTTTATCATAACCATGTAATAAAATTAAAGCAGATTGTTTTTTATTCGTATAGTTGGTATCGGACAATATTCCGCTTTATTCTTATGAAAGCACTATTTTATGTTGCGGAAATCAACAAAAGGCTGATTACTATTGGATATAAGTTTTGATTTTGTCAGACCTAAACGTAATCTAGTATTTTATTTCTAATGGTACATTTATAAATGAGAAAGGACATAGAACCTCACCGCAATATATTTTTCGAGAATATTTTTATCTGCGTGTTTTAAATTGGTAGTCGCGAAATAGACAAAGAGTATCTTAGTGAATGGCAAAAATATTAATGTTATACAACTAGTTGATGAAAAGGAAAACTATTTCGTGAAAATTAACTTATCCGCAAGAATGTTCTGATTTGTTTTTTCTCAAGTTCCTTGTCAATTATTTTCAAGATCTCGAAAGTTGAAAAAAATGGAAATTGGTAATATCTCATGCTTCAATATAAATAATAATACAATGGCAGTCAAAGCTTCATCCTTGAACAACTGTGACATTGTTTTTTTTGTAGTGTTCAGCATAACTTGATCCATTGTTTTCTGTTTTACGTCAGCAGATGATTTTAGTAACTATTCGTAAAGTTTTCCTTGATTGATGTACTTCAATACCGTGGAATCATTTTTTTGGGCATTTTATCATAATCTTTGTCTTATCTGAATATTCATCCTAATTGATATGCCTACGAAATCATATATCTTGTTGTGAATCGACTACGACTTAAGCTGGTAGAGCATCACGTGATGTTGAAATAACGGATTGATTTATTGATGCGCTTCAAATTTTCATTTAAACTAATATTTAATATAGTCACTGCGGTGAATGTATGTTACACAAATGCTGGAATACAAAATCCACACGGAGTGACAAAAGCGTGTGCGACTTCATTAGATAATTTTCGGAATCTATGTTTTATTAACAAACTAAAAAAATCGTTTTTTATCAGCTCAATAATTTACAAGCCTATGTACTGTTTATCTCTGACTTTTTTCATTTGCTCTGAGTGACAATTATCAGAATTTTAAAGTAACAATCTTTTTCCGGCTTATAGCTTTGAACGTCTCTAGATGAATTGAAATTTGTATTAAGTAGCATTGAATTTCAAAAGTATAATGATATACCACTTTCAGAAAAGATTTTCAAGTGCAGATCATGTTAGAAGTTACCGTAAAAAACAGAATCATTATTGATGGAATGCAGGAAGTTAATCAAGTTCGATGTACCTAGCATCGAGCGGTCGACAATAGATTACATAAAATAAACTTTGGATATGATATATATAGATCTGCATTAAAACGATCTGTGGCAAAAATGAGATTTTTCTTTTATCAATTCAGACCAAATAATCGCTCAGTTCTAGCCGTAGCTGGTATCAAAAGTCAACGACACGAACTTT